ATCCCAGGACCCTGGGATCATGACCTGAGCCGAAGGCAGACGCTTAACCGACTGAGCCACCCAGGCGCCCTGTACATTTGGTTTCTAGGGAACGTTCAGAATAGGTCCTATTCTTCTAGATAATACCACTTCCTCCCCTGCCCCAGCACCAGGCCCTGCCTCCTTCCAGGCCACTGCACTTCATTCTGGGTGGGGATAGTCGGGGATAGGCAGGGACAGGTGGGGACAGGCCGAGGCCAACTCAGCCACACACAGAAGCCTGGGCTGACCCTGGGAAACACATTTCCATCCTTATCAGTTATTTCCATGGAGGGTTCCGCTGGGCATCTCCCACTTTGTCCCTCAGGGGCCCTGGTCCCAGGGCTGGCAGGGCCTGACTGCCGTGTGGGATGTGGCCACGTCCCAGGGTGGATGTGGCCTGAAGCTGCCACCACTAACAGGACATTTTATCTGAACATTAATTCAGATGTTGCATTCCGTTCCCTAGCGTGGCCGGTTTGTTGTAATATTAAAGTATGATTTTAATATTGTTAACTTTGTTATTTACTGTTGAGAAAACTGCTACTCTAGGTGGAGTTGCTGAGGACATCCTGAAGTCTCCCGTGTCCCCAGCGACAGCCACCCAGCCCTCAGGAGCCGGGCAGTGCAGCAGTCTTCCAAGGCCACCACGTGCACTGGATTCTATGTAAACAGAGTCCCCCAGAGTTGTGCCATTGGTCCCACAGCCCTGGGGGAAAGGCCAGGAGCCTGGCTTCTGAGGGACACTGTTGCTAACAGGCAGTGTGACTTGGGCCATGGCCTCCTCTCTCTGGACTTCTGTCCCTTTATGTGGCAGAGGGAAGCCATGGGCGGTCTTCACTGGGCTTGACAGTGTTTTCTGGTTTACACGCCGCGACTCAGCAGGAACTTCAGAGCAGGTAGGCAGCAGCAGGGGAATGGCAAGTGGAGGGTGGGACCGCGGAGCATCTTAATCACAGACGGTGGGCGTGATGCCCCACTGCACTTGCTGAGCCCGTCCCGATCCTGGTGCTGAAGGAGACAGAACTCGGACAGGATGCTCATGGCGTGCAAAGTGCTGGCTTAGCTACGAGCCTTCTCCAGGGAATGCGGCCCTGCCTGTGACGCCTGTCCTTCCTGTGACAGCCCTGGACTTCCTGCAGCCCTGGGAGGGTTCGGGGCTGGGAAAGGGCAAGTGGCATTACTCCAGGCTCAGGGCACACGCAGAGCAGCCCGCAATCCCCCAGTGACTGTCTTCTGGGGCCACAGGAAGCACACGGGGCTGAGTCTTCCCCGGGGAGCAGGATTTGCCTGCCCACACCCTGGCCTCCTGTCTCAGGGATGTGCAAATGGGGTTCTGGCCTCCAGGGCTCTGAGGCTGCAGTGCTTCCCCCCCCCCGCCCCCGCCAACCCGCACAGCATGTGGGCACTCAGTGGAGGTGCTGATCTCTGGAGCCTGAGCAGATGAAGAAAGGTGCATTGTCTAGCTCAGCTTCTCTTCCCCGCCCGCCCTGCTGCAGAAGTGGCCAAAATCCTAATATTGGTGTGGTTTTGTTTAGCAAACAAAGAGCATGCAAAGCAGTTCCCCATCCGTGTGTGTGTGTGTGTATGTGTGTGTGTGTACCCAGCACCCTCCCTTACCCCTGACATGGAGCAATAGAACACCCATTCCAGGCCTGGCCCCAGTGCGTGGCTCCCCATCTCTGGCCTCCACTGTGTCCATGGACATGAGGAGAGGAGGGAGCAGGTGGTCTCCAAGGCTCTGCTGGGAACCCCCACAAATGGGGAGCCTGCAGAGGAGGCCAGACCACCCTCCCTCTATGCAAATCTCAACCCCCTACCCCTGCTTCCGCAAGCCTGACAGGGCACTCTGGCTGAAGTAAACAGAAAGAGCCTCTGGAATGAAGTGTAGTAGGAGTCCTGGCTGGCCAGAACCAGAGCCTGGGAGTCGGCCGGTTGCCATGCCCCAGAAGGCCTCAGAACCCACAGGTTCACAGCAAAGGAGCAGTGTGGGGGGAGCATCTGCAGGTGTCATTGGAAGGAAGTAAAGAGAGACTTGACCATCTTGCCTTGGAATCAGATTCGAATCCCAGCTCTGCACTTGCCCACTGTGTGATCTTGGGCAAGTTGGCCAACCTATCTGAGCCTCCACTAACCCCTCTGTAAAATGGGATAATAACACCTCCTTTGCAGAGGGTTGTGCTCGTTTGAGTCAATGTGTGGAAACCCTGGGCCCTGCTCGGTACCTGGAAGAGACTCGTTCAGAAGTGTCCACTGGGTGGGCCAGGTGTGGGCTTGATGCTGAGGGCACCGGGGACTACCTTCTGGCAGGGGAGAAAGTTACCCACATATAACTGCCGTAGCAGGTTCAGTGGGTCCTGAGGTGTAAGTGGGGAGCCCAAGGAGCTCAGCCTTCAGAGGTGGGAGAGCTTCCGGTTGGAATGACCAAGGGAGGCATCATGGATGAGGCAGCATTTGAGCAGGCCTCATAGGATGGGCAGGACTTCAAAAGGGGCTCCTCATGGCCTGGCAGCATGTAGCAGGTGCCAAGCCCTGCTCACTGCTCTGCACGCATGGTCTCAGGGAACCCTCCCACAGATGAGGAAGCTCTGTCACGTCGTACAGCTAGTGAAGGGTGGCACCAAGCTTAAGTGAGTCCTATCTGCAAAGTCCCTTGGCCATATAAGGCTCTAGGGATTAGGACTCAGCTGTTATCCTTGGGGGCCATTATTCAGCACACCACGGTGATTACATCAAGAAATTTGAGATGGGAAGATTACCCTGGATCGTCCAGATGAGCCCCATGTGATCCCAGGGTCCTTCCAAGAGGAAGGCAAGAAGGTCAGGCAGAAGAATGAGGCGGGCGATGGAAGCAGAGGTCAGAGCCACCTGCTTTTGAGATGGATGAAGCGGCCACAGCTGAGGGCGGCCACGGCCTCTACCCTAAAGGGATGCAGCCCTGCTAACACCTTGAGTTTGGCTCCGTGAGACTCATTTTGGGTTTCTGACCTCCAGAACTGTACGAGGATAAACTGTATTGTTTTAAGCCACTAACTTTATGGTGATTTGTTAGCAGCTGGCGGAGACTGATACAGCCCCCAACTGCAGGAGCCTCGCCTTCCCCGGCGTCTTACCGCTAGGGGTTCTTTCGCTTCTCTTCCCGCACTTACCAGTTTGGTCTGAGTCCACAACTCCCAACCCATCTGTCAGCCACTCCAGAGCTTTCTCTGACTTTTTTTTTTTTAAGTTTTAATTTTTTTTTAGTAATTTCTACACCCAACGTGGGGCTCCAACTTACGACCCTGAGATCAAGAGTCGCGTGCTCTACCGACTGAGCCAGGCTGGCACTCCGGCTTTCTCTGCCTTTTGAAGCTCCCTACCATTCCTTCCCAAAGCCTGACTTGCACCCAAGACGCACTCAATAAACACTGGTTAAATGTAAATAAATCCGTGTCTTTATTTTTATTTACAGCAGTTGAGAGGAATGGGCTCTTGTTAGCAGTGACTGCTTGTTTCTCCAGCCCCGTGGCCTGAAAGCAGAGCCGGAAGCCCCGTGGCCGGCTGAGTGCCAGTCAGAAGTGGGGGGCAGCCAGCACATCTGACCAAAGCAGAGGGGTATTAGGCCTCCCTCTGGGGCAGGAAGCAGCTCTGGCCATCTGTGGCAGCCAGAAAGAGAACCACTAAAAACCAGATCCCAGCACAGTGGGCAGCAGGCAGAGGGGGAGGATTTCTCTGTGGATTCCAGTTCTGGGCTATTCTTGGCATCTCTTGGGGGGAGGGGGAGGGCTAGGCTGGCTGTCAGGGCTCCATGGGAGGCAAGGCGCCCAAGCTCTTAGACCTCTAAAACAACTTAGCTCAGAAAAGACCCAGCCCAGTTCTCATATTTTGCAGCAGGAAAATATTGGTCCAGAGAGGGAAAGCAACCTGCTCGAGGTCACACAGCAATTCCGTGAGTCTCAAAACGAGCTGACAGATTCCTGCCCAGCCCTGACTCCAGGAGACCGGGGATCTGGGCGCGGGAGGCTGGCCTCCCTCTGGGTCGCGGGACCTCAGGGCAGGCTGGCCGGGAGCCCAGGGCAGGTCCAGCCTCACTTGAGATTGTGCTGGCTCTCGCGGTGCCGCCGTAGGTCCACCTTGCGCTGGAAACCCTTGGTGCACAGCTCGCAGCTGAAGGGCTTGAAGCCGGTGTGCTTCCGGCTGTGCGTGATGAGGTTGGAGCTCTGGCTGAAGGCCTTCCCGCACACCTGGCACTTGTGGGGTTTCTCACCTGCGGGGCAGCAAGGAGCGGGTCAGGGCTGTCGGCGCCAGGCCCGCTGTCCCCCTGCCCTGCATTTGTTCGCCAGACCCTGCTATGTGTTATCTCGCGGCCAGCCCACATGCGCTTTAGAAAAGAACTACAAAAGGGAGAGGGGAAAACAACGCCCCCTGGGGTTGCACCCTGGTCGGACGGGGACTGGGTCCAGGCCCTCAGTTAACAGCCAAGCAGTGAATGATTGGAGGAATGAATGAATGGCGAATCCACCTGCTAGTCTCACTTGGACCCAGAGATCACGCTTTGGCCGTTCCCTTCCCGGCGTTTTTCCTACGCATTAAACGTGTACTTAGGTAGCAGTGCGTCCAGCCCTCTGCGTGGAGGGGAGCGCCTCTCGCTTTGTAATTGACCCCCTCCCCGCCCCCCGTCCGGGAGGGAGGGAGGCGGGGAGAGGCTCTGCTTGGGCCCGTGCGGGCGTGGCCAGGGAACCCCGGGGCCAGACGAGGGGCGGGCGCCTCACCTGTGTGGATGTAGGTGTGCTTCTTCATGTCCGACTTCTGGTGGAAACGCTTGCCGCAGAACTGGCAGGGGTAGGGCCTCGTGTCCGAGTGGATGAGCAGGTGCGTGGACAGGGTGGACGAGCGCTTGAAGGCTTTGCCGCACATCCGGCACTCGAAGCTGCGCTCCTGCCGGACGAAACGAGGCCCAGGGGGGTCAGGTGCGGGCGGGGCCTCGAGACCCGGGACTGCCACGCTGGGCGCAGGACCGGGCCCTGCCGGGATCCCCTGAGGAACAGGACACTCGTTGGGGGGGCATCGAGAACGGGTCCTGGAGGAGCAGGACCCAGAGACCCCCATTTCTGCATCCCAAGGGGGGCTGAGGCCTGGGGCCTAAGAGGCCTCCTGTGCGTTTTCCCCTGTAACCTTCACAGTATGCCATGCAAAATAAACCTCAACGTGCGTTTGTTGACTGACTGATAGATCGACTGATCTGGGGCATGGTCATGGGCTTCGCAGTGCTTTGGTTAAGAGTCTGTATTATTGGGGCACGACTCTGGCTTCTGCCCCTTAGGAGCCACATGACCTTAGACAAGTCATTTAACCTCTAGAGACTCAGTTTCCTCATCTGTACATGAGAACAGCAGTAATAAGCTCAAAGTGTAGACAGCTGAACCGGCAACTACTAGCACGTGGTGTGCGTTCACAATTGGAAGCTCTCATGACCATATCCTGCCTCTCCCGCCTGAGCTTTTATTGACTCCCGTGTTAGCAACTCGGGTCATTTCCGGTCCTTTCCCTGGAATGGAATATTCAAGAAGGGCTAAGCGGGACAAGATTCTAAAAGTCGGGAGCCTCAAAGCTGAGGACACCTCTCCTGACCACACAGACGGCAGGATCATTTCTGAGCCTCAGAGACATCTCTCTGCCCCCGAAATCCCACTGGGCCAGGAGCCTCTCCCAACAGCACATGAAGCTGATTTGGCCCATCGGGGAGGGTGTTGGGAAAACTATAACGAGGCTAGCACTAAAGCACAATATTCATTATCAAGAACGAATTAAACTATATATTAAATATATATAATATATACATATATTTTAAAAAGAGGGTTTTGGGGACCCCGATGAGGGGGGAAAGGACCCTCGATCTGTGTCACCTTCAGAAGCAGGGTGAGAGACCCAGCCATAGCCCTAGGATTCCTGCAGGAGGCACAGAGCAGGAGTGGGAAGCGGGGGGGGGGGTCCTGGGCTTGGCCAGCTGCCCACCTGGGAGTGGACGTGTGTGTGCTGCTCCAGGCTCACGGCGTGGCCGAAGGTTTTGCCACAGACGTCACAGGCAAAGGGCCGGGTCCCGCTGTGGGAGCGGCGGACATGCACTTCGAGCCCGTGTGGGGTGGAGAACACCTGGGGGCAGGGGGCAGAGCGTGAGGCCACTGGGGGCTGCGGAGAAGGAGATGGGCCTGGGGTCCCAAAGCCAGCCCCACCCCCCTCCATGCCCAGGCACAGACGGCCATAAAGCAGGAGAAGCACTGGAGTGCTGTGTGTCCTGGGAAGGTCCCTTTCCCTCTCTGTGGCTTGGCTTCCTGTCTAGAAAATGGGGGCTGCGGGAGCATGTAAAAGGCCCCTCCTGGCCCTAGCTAGAGGCTGAACAGCCTAGTGGTTAAGAGCCAGGAGTTTGCCAGAGCCACGTTTGAATGCTGGTACTGATGTCTACTTGCTGTGTGCTCTTGGGCGGGTGACTCAACCTCACTGAGCTTTTTGTCTGCTTCCCAGGGCTCAAGCATGTCAAGTGCTTCGCACAGGGCTAGCACACAGCCAGGGCTCATGGTCCTCGTCCTCATGGTGAGGACAAGCATACTGAACCCTCGACTGCACCAAAGGACTCAAGATTCACAGCACAGGGAGCACCCAGCTGCCGGGGAACTGGAGAGGGGACGCGGAGCAGGGCCCGTGAGCCCACCCACACCCAAGTTGCCCACCTTGTTGCACTTGAGGCAGTGGTACGTGTCCATGCCCGGGGAGCAGCGGAGGCTGAAGTCCAGGGGCGGCTCAGTGCTGGGCACAAGAGGGCTGCCGTACAGGCTGACGGAGCGCTCAAGGAAGGCGGACTGCATGGTGGAGGGGGCCTGCCGGTAGCTGTGGCCATAGGACGAGGCCAGGGCATCCCAGGAGAAGCTGGGCTTGTAGAACGGGGGTGAGTCGGAGTCCCTGTCCTGGGATCGGGGCATTACAGCAGGGCCCTCTGTGGAGAGTGCGACACATATATCGTGGTGATTCATTGATAACTAGGGCACTGCTCCCCACCACTCTCCACCTAATGACCTCATGCTGAGGATTGTGGTGTATAGCCCAAAATATTACTGTGGGAGAGGGTCTGGGTCTTCACTGTGACTTCTCAGCTTTTCAGGTCCCCAGCACCTGCAGAGTGCCCACCTCACCCACTGCATCGGCCTGCCCACCGCTTCTTCTGACCTGCCACACAGAAGCTCTCATCTGGGAGTGAGCTCCCCGTCCTAGAGGGGTCCAGGCAGAAGCTGGAGAGCCCAGATTGTATCCAGATGGCCTTGTTGATCGTTCCTGACTCCACAACTCCAAGGATCCCTGCTTCCATGAGCCCATCCTCCCTCCATTCCACTTGCACTGGCTGACGGGGAATGGCCGGTGGTCCCAGCCTGGGTACCTGGCACCAAGGCCGTCCTGCTCAGGCTCTGGTCCAGCTCCAGCTCTGGCTCCCGTTTGAGGTCAGTCCAGGTCAGGCACTGGTTTGGGAACAGGGTGTTGAGGACAGGATCATTGCTCAGGACCTGGTCCCTGGCCCCTGTGGGGAAACAAGACCATCAGAGACACCAGCTACAGCTCCTAGGAGGATGGGGACCCAGAGATGCACTTGCTGCCATCCCCAGCCACTTGCATGCATGGGCCCTGCCCAGGATGGTGGGAGCAGGATGGAGGCCGAAAGGAACCCCCCCCCCGAGGAGAACTCCTGGACCAGTGTTAGTTTTCTGAGTACCCGACCTCAGCCCTAGATCTTTTCTGAGTCTGGTTAGGACCCACATGTCGGCTGCTAAGGACCAGGTCCAATCCTGATGCTCCCACCATCCCAATGGATCAGAAGAGATGGGTGCATTCATTCATTCATTCAACCAACATTTACTGAGCTTCTGCTTGCAGAAGGGATGCGCTGCATCCCCAACGCGGGGGACAGGGAGCCCTGGGTGGGTGCCGCAGGGGGATCTCTGACTCACTGGGGCTAAGGGCAGGAGGCCAGATCGGGTCATCTTCCTGGATGCGGGGCTGGTGGTAGGTATGAGCCTTCTTGCTCTTCACCAGGAAGGAGCGTGGCATGGTAAATGTGAGCCCCACACCTGCAAGGGGAGAGGGAGAGAACAGTTAGGAAGGGCAAGAGGACAGCAGTCTCTGTATTTTAGAGCCTCCTCCTGATATCAGAATCCACTGTCCTGAGTCGAATGGTGTCCCCCAGAAGTTCATGTCTACCTATGAATGTGATCTTCTGTGGAAATAGGGTGTTTGCAGATTTTACCAACCTAAGATGAGGTCATACTGAGTTAGGGTGGACCCTAAGCCCAATATGTCCAGGGTTCTTATAAGAAGAGGGAACTTTGGGCACACAGACACAGACACACAGGGAGAACACCGTCTGGAGGCGGGAGCAGAGATGGGAGGGACACGCCTACAAGCCGAAGAGCACTGAGGAGCGCTTTCTCCACCAGAAGCCAGGAGAGAGGCACACGACAAACTCCCTCAGAGCCTCCAGAAGGAACTGACCTTGCAGACACCTTGATTTGGGATCTCTAGACTCCAGAACCTTGAACGAATCAATTTCGTGTTGTTTTAAGCCACCTGGTTTCTGGTGGTTGGCTACAGTGGCTACAAATCCTAACCTCCCCCCACTACTCCCTTGCTAGGAAACTAATACACCCACCTTCGAGAAAACCCCCAGGGTCAGTCTGCTCCTGCCCACATGCCCTGAATCACACTAGGAGCAGAGAAGGAAGGACAGGGGTGTCTTCAAATATGACACTGTGGCCCCGGCATCCAGAAAGCTGCATTCATGCCCCTGTGGGATCTGCATCCAGAGGCCACGGAAGGGGTGGTCTGAGCTCAGGTTTTGGAGTCAGATGCTCACGGGTTAGAATTCCAGCTCACCCGCTGTGCACTTTGGGGCAGACGCTTAACCTCTCTGGGCCTACTCCCTTTTCTGTAAGGTGCAGCGTCCAGGCAGGTAGTGCCAGCGAGAGCATCTTATGTGCTTAGTGCTTATCATAG